TCGCAAGGGTATGTTTCAATATTGCAATGTCACTGATATGAGGTGGGCGGTGACTTTCATCGCACTGAGACTTTGCAAGCGGTATTCGCATGACGTTGTCATGAATACCTGCTCAGGATTTAATTTTTGGCCTTGCTTATTTCGATGGCGGTGCCGCGATTCAGCATCCAGTCCTCAGCGACGAGAGGCATTCATTACCAGTTGAGGGTAAGTCGGCGGTATGGTCTGATGAAGGTATAAATTGTCTGGTGATTATCAAAACCATCTTTTCAAGGCAGTGAAAAAGCTGTTAACTCACTGAAGCAGTCACAAGCAAACAGCCTTTTTCCCTTTGAGGGGAACCGTGGGTTTGATGTTGAAGTCTGATGGCACTTCTCATAAACAGAGAATAACAGGAGGTGATGATAGTTCTGGAATGCCAATTTATGCAAATTTTGTTCTTGTCCTGATTGAGAATGGTTATCAGTCACATAAGTCTTCAAATCAGGGATGTTTCTACTTTTTATTCAGTTCTGGGCCCCAGCCATCTCCCTAATTTTGTGAAGAAGTGTGCTTATCTGGAGGCATCTGTATTTTGGGGTTCACTGCATAATTTCTCACTGATCCATAACCTATCTTCAGAAGCTATGCCCCTGCAAAAACAAGTATAAAAGAAGCTCGAGATGTCAGACACCTTTCGTATAGCACACAACTTTATTTACATTTGTCTACGTTACATTTTATGTGATGTCGCACTTTGCAAGCACTACGCAATGCCTGGTAGATGATTTTTCTCTGTGCCATTTTTCCCCTGTAGAGAGTTGTCTACTAAATCGCACGACTACAGAAATGTAGGAGTGAAAACTCAAAAATATCTAAATTTAATACAAAAGCCACATCTTATTGCTTGAAGCCCATTTTGGTAATATACAACTCACACGAATTAGCCAAGATTAGGAAAAAACTATTGGCGCTTGCAATGATTTAACTTCTTTTGGTTTTCGTGTTCAAATACGGGGGGGATACAAAATACACATTACTTCCTTCGTCTGACACCTAAATATACCATGTATGGCTGGAAATGATAATCAATGGCTCTTTAAGATTAAATGACTACAAACTTTATCTATTTGATGGAAATAGAATATTTTTCCCCTGGATAAAATAAAAAATAAAAGCAAAGACTAACAAAACAAGGATTTCATATATTGGATCGACTGACATCCAAGAATAAATAGGTCAAAGCAATTAAGTACATGATTTGAAGAGAGGTCTCAAGTTTTACTTATCAAAACCTCCCGCGCAATTTTTGGTTGATAACGCGGCTCGATAATGAAAGACTTAAGCAAATTCCAGCTGAAAGTAACCAGAAAAACCTCATCCATCTGAATTTTAAGCAACTGTTTTTGGATCGTCACCATGGAATATCTACCAATCCTGCCGTCATCTATCAACGAGTTCTCAAATCACATCACGTGATCGCAGTGTGGGGCAAAACTCCGACCGGATGGCAACGCCATCATTATGATGATAATCATGATCATGTATTCGTTACGAATCATCTTATAAATATGCCGAATGTTTTATTTGAGACAATGAGCTGCATGTTACGCGTTAAAAATGATAATGCAGTCACGATGAAAACACATCAGGAGCAAAGAAAAGCGCGCAGAGGCAAACCTCATCAACGATGCCACATTAGACAGCTCTCGACACAAACATAGTGTAGCTCTGGGAGGCCACAATGATAGCGGCATGCGTTTCCCGAGCGAGAGCTCACGATGTGGAAAGGCCCTGCACGACATGGACAGTCAGAAAGAAAAAAGCTCCAACGAACCGGCCAACTTCGACCAATCCCTCATGCCAGCAAAGAACAACATATAATCATTTAATCTAGGCAAGTCCAATTTCATTCCTCTTGCCGTCCGTGATAATGTTGGGGGTTCTTTCGACCAGACCCTGTCTTGGGATTGCGACATCCAAAAAAGTGAAAAAGTGCAACTTCATCCTGCTGTGTCTAATCGACATAAGATTTTTCAGCATTTCAAGCCCCCAAATTCGTTATCGAGGCCCACGTCTTCCCTCTCATTTTGTTCTGTGTCTCAGTCGGGGACGTGTGGCCTCTGCTTCCTACCTCAACCGAGTGCAAAAGGCGAATTTCGCGAACTAGGTCATCTCGAGGGCGAGGGGCCGGGAACACATTTCATCGGTCTTGGAGTCACCCATTCGCGCCGCTGTTAGAGTGTGCAACACAGTCGGTGGAGACCGTCGCTTCTGCGGTTCCCCGCTTTCCAGCTTAGACAGCTGAGGGAAAAACTGAGCGAAAGACTGTTAAACTGATGCGCAGGGCGCTTTCGCACTGCATGTTCTCGTCCTGGAACCGCCTGCCGCCGGTCGTTGTAGCCTCCCGGAGCCGTGTTGCGTTCAAATCTGAACTTAACCGATGTGAAACAGAGCGCAGTGTCTGCTTTTGTGGGATCTTTTTACGCTATTAATGTTTTATCATTGTCGCGAGTTCTGCTGCGGCAAGTTGTGATCACACGGTGTGATTTGAAAACTTAGGTAAGACAGCAGTAATGACCTTGTTCCTCAGAGAAAACCAGCAGAATGGAGGAACAGAGGTGCTGATATTTTGGCAACATGCCTATATCGAAACGAATAGCAGAAGTGCGTTGAAAATTGCCTACCGGAGATCCTTCTCGATTTATCAGCTTTTTAAGCAGTGAGCCACGGTTTTTACACAACAACATTCAGGGGCCCAAACAGGGAGCTATTGCCAGCCAACACATTTCCAGTACAATTCAGTGCAATCTCACTAAGAGAAAGAATGCGCCCAAATGCGTTTACATGCAAACGAATTCAAGTAACTAGGTATCACGCGGCACGCTTCATTCCAACACGCAAGCGAGTTGAAGTAAACAGACGTCACACGCTACACGTCAGTTATACATGCAAGCGATTTCTACTCATCAGACACCGCGAATCACACGCCAGGCATCCCTTACTCAAGCAACAGATTTAAGCTGGTACACATCGCACATAAAGGCACATATCACGTTGGCACAATCGGTCATGATGAGCCATGTACGTTAAGGTTTGGTCGACGACTTTTTATAAGAAAAGATATCCTATCTGCATGCCTAAGTGCCCGGGTGGAAATACAAGTCATTTATGGCGGTCTGGATTTCAAGGGGTCGGCACGCAAAATCGTGGCATACAAAACTAAGTGCAAACTGTGCGACAAATACGAGAGCGACATGGTCTATGTCGATGAATTAATGCACCTTATTCGTTTCAGATATAATGAATACCCGCGAAACGCTGAAACACAACAGGGAATATCCTTTTTGGTGATGTCATTTTTTTTTCTGTGTCAAAACACGCCTAGGTTAAAATCCAGGGAGGTATGGACGCTATGTAATTTTTAGAGCTCAAAGTCATCTACATAGAACATGACCACCTAATCAGGAAAACAATTGAATCTGTTCTTATAAAAAGCCGGCGACCAAACCTCAGCATGCAGGGCTCATCATGTCCGCTCACGCGAGCGTGATATGTCCCTGATGTGTGATGTGTAGTAGCTTAAAACCGTTCACATGAGTAAGGGATGTGTGGCGCGTGATGCGCAATGCCTCTTTAATTGAAATGGCTTGCATGTGTAATCGATGCGTACGGTGTGGTGCCCGTTTACTTCAACTCGCTCGCATGCTCAAGTGAAACGTGGTGCGTGATGCCTGTTCACGTCAGTTCGTTTGCATGCATGCGTATTTTCGCGTATTCTAGGTCTTAGTCAGATTGCACTAAATTGTAGTAATGGCTGGCGATTGTTCCTTGTTGAATCCCCTGAATGTTGGTGTCCTGCAAAAGCTGTGGCTTGCTGTTTCAAAAGAAACCTTGAAAAATCGAGAAGGAACATCAGTAGACATGCTTGAATACGTCTCTGCTTTTCGTTTCGATAAAGGCATGTTACCGAAATATCAACGCTTCTGTATCTCAACTGTCCTGGTTTTTCTCTGAGGAATAAGGCTATTACCGCTGCCTTATCTATGTGAATGATGATCCTCACAAATGCACCAAACTATATGCGTGATTGAAAATTCGTTGGCAGCTGACAGCAGAGTCGACAACAGTTCCGCGGGGAGGGTATGCGAATGGTCGCTCGTATTAAATTATTATTTCGTACATAGCTGAGGCATACAAATTCAGTGCATACATGAACAGAGATGACACGACTTTGCACTTCGCATTGCATTGCATTTCCCTTCACATTGCAATCCAGTAGGTTAGTTCAAATGATTATAATCATGTTTTTGTGCACAGGGCTTGTGACCCTGTCTATCTGTAAAGCATGCATAAGATGTTGACTTTTATTGGGGTGGGAGAAGCAAAAAGTAGATTTTCCTCTTGGGTCATTTATCGCAACTCTGCCTACCTCCAAACCATTCTTGATAGGCAGATTTGGACGTTTTCCTCAAATGTCCTTATACTTAAGTGAGAAGATACAAGCGCTTGTCACGTTTATGATATCAATTACAAGTCCAAAGACAACAGCAGCTCACATGAGTTTGCAGTAGCCGAAACTCTCCACTGGACAGGTCGAACAAGTAGAGCCCATTCGTTCCTGCCCTTGTTCCACACCACCAAGGTTAACATGTGTTCGTACGTGGAAACCGCATGATACGCAATTTCCTGAAGCACAGGATTTACTGCTCGAGCAGCAGCTGTTGGCAGTTAGCTTCGTCAAGCATCTGAAGTGCTCATCGCAAAACTGGTGTTCGTCGCATCCCTTTTTCGGCGTGCAGGCGACACACACTCCCTGACCGCCCACGCATATTCCGCTGAGGCATTCGACGTCCGCGTCACAGCGCGAGCCATCGTCTACCTTGGGCCGGCACGACCCGGAAGCGCCACAGTACTGGTTATCATCACAGCCGGCTAGGCCTGAGCACTGGACACACTGCGCGCGGAAACAAAAGCCGCTCTTGCAATCGTCGCCGCCGTCGCAACTTTCGCGCAGCGACCTTCGCTGGCCGCAGACGCCGTTGTCGCAGCGCTGGAAGCGACGACAATCGCTGTTGACCAGGCAGTTGGCGCAGGCGCCGGAACGTCCGCAGAGGCCCGACCGGCAGCTGTCGTTGCTGTCGCAACTCTCCCGGAGGTCCTTCAACTCCCGGCACGTGCCTTCGGCCGTGCAGTACCACCCACGCTCGCAATCCCTGTGCTGCGTGCAGAGCACGCACGTGTTCTTGTCGCCGCATTTGTGGGATTGACAATGATCGTCTTCATGACAACTATATCCGAAGAGGCCCCTGGCCTTGCAGCTGTTTTGGTTGCAGTAGTGACTCTCGGGGCAATCCCAAGCGGTGAGACAGTCGACGCAAAATCGGTTGTCTTTGCAGATGTTGGACAGACACTGTGTGCGGGTGTAGCAAGAAGATAGTGGCTTGCGCTTCTCCTGGCACTTGCCATCGTCACAAAACTGACCCTCGCCGCAGTCGTCGTGATGTAAGCATTCGGCGCAGCGTCGTTTTCTGCAGATTTTGGACTTGCACTGCAGGCTGACCAAGCAGATGGCGCCGGCGTCGGCCGGCTCCCTGCAGGTGCCGACGTCGCAGAACTGGTGCGGCTCACACGGGTGGGACGCCGAGCACTCGGTGCAAACACCGTGCAGGCAGCGGTTCGAGCTGCATTGCTGGTTGCTGTAGCAGGTGTCCCTAGCTCTGCGCAGCTCCCGGCACGTTCCGCGCTGGCAGTAGAGCAGCGGGCCGCAGTGGGAGTGGTCGGCGCAGTCTGCGCAGCGACCGTCGGTGCAGTAGCCGGACGCGCAGTCGGAGCCGCTGTTGCAGTGACCCCCGTCCACCTCGCTCGGCCGACACTGGTAGAGCGAACAGCGGTGGCCGTGCGCACAGTCGCCGTCGGAGCGGCACTCGGCGCAACGGTTCTGCAGGCAGACGGCCGCGCCGGCGCAGTGGTCGTCCAGCGCGCACTGCACGCACTCGTGCGCGGCGCAGACGAGACTGGCACCGCAGTGTGAGTCGTGCGCGCAGGCCACGCACTTTCCGGCCACGCAGAATCCGCGGGCGCAGGCGCGGTGGTGGTCACACTCGACGGCCAGGTTGTTCGGCAGCGCGCCGCACAGCCAGCCCTGAGGACACAGCCAGGTCAAGCACATCCTGATCGAAACAGCGGCTGCGCTTCTGGGCGACGTATCGTCGACTTGCAAATAGGTGGTACACCGGCGTGGTCTCAGTCATGTGAATGGCCGACGAGGCCTCAGCCCCAGCCGTTTTGATGACTGACGAGGCCCCAGCCTCAGCCGTATAGATGACTAGCGAGGGCAGGAGGTTTAATCGTGACGTCACTCATTTCAATCACCTGGCATTTTGCGGACTCGACGGTGCCACCGAAGGTCGTGGGCAGGTCACGCAGACGTGCCTCTCTCCTGGCCGCCGGCTCTGAACTCTTGCCGTCGATGGCAGCGCAGCCCACCTGGCGGTCATGCAGGTGTATTGTTAGGAGTCGCGCACCCAGCCAGATAACGCGGCGGAGAGCCGGTAGCGGCCCCTCTCCCGGTGCTGCAGGCGTTCCTGCACAGAGGTACTGTTTGGAGCGACGTGATGTTTAGGACGACAAAGTGCTACAGAGTGAAGAGTGTCAGAGATTAGAGACTAACAAAAAAAGCTGTCCAAGTCTCCTGAGAGCCAATAATTCAGGGGGCAGAAACACTCATGAGATACCAGGGTATCCAGAACGACTGAGTACCAAGGCGTGTGCAATGTCGGGGATCTGTCGATTGGACCCCTGGCCAATCGACGCTCAAGCCCAAGCCAATTATGACCCTCGAAATTTTCATGCCTGGCGTGCTTGAGCACGGTATCTGGAACCACCTCATTTGATTTGAGTGATTGGAGGATGTCATGGATTGGATCACCGGTGTCATGAATTGGAGGTCATTCTATAACAATGATCATGTTTTATGCTACATAATACAGGATGTCGGCAGTGGAACTAGTTGCTAAAGAAATAAGACATTTAATCTAATAGCTTGATAACGACTATTTGATTACACATCGTATGAAAAGCTTGACAAGAATAGCGCCATAATCCAGATAGCGAATGCGAGCAAACATGAATTCACGGTTGTGTATGGAAGAAGCGCATGAGACGAGCGAAAACACGCACACGCAACGATATCGGGGATCTGGGAACGCCGCACCCATCACCATGACACCTCTCGAGAAGTTTAGGTACTACAAGTAGGTCAGCCCGTCCTCTAGAGTGGAAATTTCGCACGGCCACTTTTGGATCCCCTCGGACGCTATAAAGGCGCAATCAAACGATGATATATTCAGCAGCATATTTACTACATAGTAAACCTGTGTTGTCTAAAGCGGTCATCAGTCAGTAAAGCTGTGTTTTCAAGCAGTCACATAAGTCTTTCGCCTTATTTTGCGTTTCAGAGCATACCCATTGTTACAAGTTAGCTTATTCCATCATATCTAATGTTTGCCTCAATTTTCTCAAATGTTGAACATTCCCTTGAAGTGTAGGCACAAACATGGCTACTTACGACACTAGTCCGATCGATTGCAATATGCAGCCAGATGCAGGACTTTCAAATAGTTGTTTTGCAGCATTAAATAGTTCATTACCGGGGCTCCGCCGAGTGTGTCAGCTAATAATGAAAGTATCTTTCACAATTTTTATCATATTTTCGGCCGTGGTTTTCCACGTGGTTTTCAACTCAGGAATACGCAAGCCGTTAAGAGCATTTGCGAGCAACATAGCACATACAGTTGAGACAAAACTGTACGCGTTGCTCCTCGTAGAAAAACCAGAGAAAGGAAACAAAGATGCCTCGATATTTCGGCTACATGCCCTTATAGAAGCGATCATAAGTAGTGACTTAAAATTCAAAATGGCCTGCCGATCTAAGCCGCTTTTCGTTTTATTTTTTTCAAAAGCGAGACAGTCTTTGCAAGTTAACGACATTGAGAGGACTAAACAAGGAGCAATTGCCAACCATTAATATCATGCAGTGTCTATCCAACGAGAAACAAGTACACAGGCATCACGCATCACACATCACTTGGACATGTAAACAATGTCCATCACACAAGCACTGTGCATCGCGCGTCAAGCATCCCTCATGTCTGTAAACAATTTTAAATTAGCACGCATCACGCATTAAGGTACTTTTCACATTCGCATGATGAGCACTGAGCGCCTCAGTCTGGTTGCCGACTTCCCATTAGAATGGATTCACTTATTTTCTTGTCTGAATGGTCCTGCGCTCTGTAAATGACTTTAAGCTCTAAAAAAGGGATAGAGTCCGTACCCCTGGCTTTTGGACTGAGTGTGTTTTGTCAAAAAATGGTCAGCGAAAGGGATATTTTCCGTTTCGTTGTTAGCGTCTCGTTGTTCATCAAATCTCAAACGGATGGGGCGCATGCACTCCCCGACATAACAGCTTACACTTGCTTTTGTAAACCACGTTTCCGTTTCACGTTCAATGAAATTGATGCTTTTGGTTTACTTAAGGTGCATGTCCGCGGTGTTTTAGAGCAGCGTCTCCACGATAATGTTTTCTCGTTCGGAGATGACTGCTATTAACAGAAATTGAGCATAACAATGGAGAACACATGGGCCACCGCTCTGGCGATAATATTTTTCGTTCAATTTGAAACGAAGGCCCTAGCCGCCAGCCCATTCAAACCAACTTTCTCAGCTACATACATCGATGATTATGCTGGAGCATGGACGCAGAATTCATGAACAATCAGCATACCAATTAAGCCTTTACGATGCAGCATACACGTTACGGAAGGGGGTCTCATATTTTTCGGCATACTGGTGACCGATGAAAGAACGAACAACCCCAAAACGTTGTAAGCGAAGCTCTTTATCAAGTCTTCTAACTGCGGTATATTTTTGCACTGTGAATCTGCCAATCCAGCTTCCACTAAGTGCGATATCGTTCGTAAGATGTTTCATAGAGATGTTAGCAATTCACCAAGTGGTGAAAAAAGAAAAAGCATGAACAACGTACGTACTTCACTTTCGGATATTGCATATTCCTTACAGGTTTCGGGTAGGATGTTGGAAGAGGTAAAAGAATCTAGATCGTGTGGGGGAGGGTTGGTATAAAACAGAAACATGCGCTGTCGGATGACGGCTAGTAAACACTACTTACCATGCAATAGCACTTGCGTTGGAAAATAAAACGCATCGTTTGGAAATGCAAAAGTGTGCGTACATAGCGCTTGAAAGAAGAACAAAAAGCTATAAAAGTCTCGGTGAAATCTTTTATCTCGAATCCTAAGTGCCGGGGACGGAGGGGGGGGGGGGGGGAAGGGCAATCGGTGTAATTTATGCAAGTCTGGGTTTCGAGGGGTTTGCACGCAAAAATGTGAGTTTATTAAGTGCTACGTGTGTGAAAACATGGAAGGAACGTAATATGTATCGGGAAGCCCATGTGCCCTGTTCGATGCAGATGTAATGAATACCTGCGAGACGCTGCCAACAGAACAGAGAATGCCTCTTTGTCGACTATTTTTTTGACAACACATGCTCGGGCTTACATCCACGGAGGTACGGACCAAGCGCTGCCCAGCGGGTACGTAAGGCGCACTTGATGGTACAAACAGGAATCAACACGTTATTTCAGTACGCAGAACAATTTTTGCAGACATGAACGGGCTACCAGCAAGACACACCAAAGGAGCAGCATGTTCAGAGCTGAAAACGCCCGGACCCTTACGTCAGTGCGCGCGATCGCGTGGAGCCCACCATGATCCATGTCCTTACCAGGAGGCAGCAGAAGAGCGCGCTGAACAACATGATGGCGTTGTAGCCGGCACTACTGACACTGCGCTGTGCGTCGTGCTTTTATACCATTTAAGTAACTCAGAGCCAGTTCACCACTTTCAAACAAGCTCTAACCGATCGAGTGAAGTTATCAGCCGCGTTAATCTACGCTGCTGGCGGGGTTCCGCCACACTGCAGTACAGGCTGTGGACCGACCGTTAATCAAGTTTCTCTCAGCACTTGCTTCGTGGTACTGGCGAGGAGAAAAGCAGCGACATATCGTTAAATCTCGTGTGACCTCACAACCCAAAAACCACCGACGTTTCTTGGAGCGTCGCGACCCGAGTAAGCCTTATCTAACAAGTGAGACCAGATCTATGCTGGAAGACCCGTCCAAGCCAGGACGTTTTTTACGCACTGCTACATGTGTAAAAACTTGCCGTGACTTCTTGCAGTTTTCGCAAGAAGATTGCGGGTCTCTGACTGTGTGTTGTAAGAAGTATGCTCGACAGTTGAAGGTATTGAAGCAAACGCCAGTTTTGATGAAATAAACTCACTTTTCACTTTCATATGATTTTAAGCGAAATAGACCGCTATAGATAACATAATTTCTCTATTTAGTAACCATGCTCCCCAGTGCGTGATTACAAGATTAAGTCATGGAACGTTCGAATGACTGTACCCACTTTTAGTTCATTGATCTCCCGAGATATGGTAGCACGGGTTGGAAGCGTTCGCCGATCCAGATGCCGTTATGTGCTTGCATGTTGGCCCTTTCTCGTCATGTTCTTGCACATTTATCCGTGAGTTTAGGATGCTTACATGTACTCCTACACTTGACTGTCGCGCTTTTCTGAAGTTGATCGATTACAAGTCTTCTTTCCGTAATGGCTGAGAAAAATGCACAACTTATGGTATAATTCCTAACTCAAGGCGTAAAGCGCACGCGCGCGGGTTACGGCACGGCGGTTGGCCCCTCAGGTGCATGTAGCCCTGCCCCACTGTTATTCATTTGTCATCCATCCCATACCCTGTTATAGTCATTTCTGGTCGAAACTTGTACTAATCCAAAGAGCCAGATGTCCGTAAAGTTGACGATTTATTCAGCGACGACTTCCGATTTCTATCTACCACGTCTTATGGTCAAGTATAATACAACATCGAGAATGACATTTATGTTGCAATATCATGTGACTTTCAAGGTTAAAAGCGAGGTCACAGGACGGGAATCTCCGTATCACCGAAGAATTACCGGCCGATTTCAACTTTCCAAGCATCAGAATATTCACCAGCGCCTGAACTACCGTCCGCCAAGAACTGCTGACCTCTCAAGGCTACCCTTCAGAGAAATCACCGGCCGATTTTAAACTTGCAATCACCAGAATATTCACCACGGAAAAACAAGCGTCCGTCAAAAGTCTACTTCACCAAGTTACTCTTCAGGGTCAAACTAAGGTTCAGATTACGGGGAATGTTGGCGATTTATTTCGCAAGTTATTAAACGACGAGATCCGATTTTTCTGAAAACACATCATATTGTCAAATATGACATGAGAACATCGAATGTGATGCTTCTTTTGCAATATGATGTGACCTTCAAGTTCAAAAAGTAGGTCAAAGGACGGGGAAATTCATATTACCCCAAAATTACCGGCTGATTTTAATCGACACGCAATGGTCAGAAGCATACCATGTTCAATATGGTGACTTTGAATCGGGTCAAAGGTCACTAAAAATGTCCCAAACCACCAAAATTGGGTGCAATGTAATCCGATGACCCGAGCCTTTGGGACTGACAGCACACAACCTGCACACATCTATACGTCGTGGTCGGTCGCTTGTCCTCTTCAGAAGATGGTGGCGTTGCATCGCGTCAAATGTCACTAAAAACGCCCAAACCACATATTAATTTGCAGACCACCACGTTTCCCAAGTCTTTGCGACAGACCAGCACAAAGCTTCGCCTTCACCAATCAGTGTGCCATGGTCGATAACATATAATTTCCAGAAAACTGGTGACATTGCGTCAGGTAAAATATTTTATTAAACTTAGTTCCGGCGGCTTTGGACGTTTTGGTGACATTTCACCGGACCCAAGATTACCAGCTTCTGAAAGGCTTGGGTCATCGACCATGGCGCATCAATTGGCATGGACGTGCCATTCGGCTCCATAGGCTAGGAGCATGGGGTTGTCTGTGGCCAATTCAGGCATTTTTGGGCATTTTTGGCGACCAGTTAGACCTGATTGAATGTCACCATCTTTTTGAATGCGCATGTTATTGGCCATTTCACACCCATTGGTAAGTTTTTCGTGGCGATCATTCCATAGACTCGGATCATGGGGTTGTCCACTGCAAATTTTGATGGCTTTGGGCGTATTTTGGTGGCCTTTAACCTAACCCAAGGTCGCCATCTTCTGAAAACATGGCACATCGTCAACAGCGCGTCGATCGGTAGGGGATTTATACCGATCGATGAAATAGGTTTTGGACATCGGGTTGTCTGCAAACTAATTTCTGGATGATTGATGCGGTCTTAATGTTTTTTAATCGGACCCAAGGACACCATGTTTTTGAGAGAAAAAGCTATCGACCAAGCGACACCGAAGGGAGAAGGTCCCATAGGCTCGCAGCATTTGGCTACGAACATATTTGTCGTTTTTTTTTGTCCGTCCCGAGGGCAAGCAGCAGTGACGTCTCGCGGCTAGTATGACGTTTCGTAAGGACCAATAACTATTTTCCTCTCCGACATTCACTTTTTCACTCAACCAGGTTTCCAAAAGGCTGCACACATGCTAGTAATGGAGGGAGAGGGGGGGGGGGGGGGGGTATTTCGGTAAGTGCATTCTCTACATCGTCTGACAGTACAAGCGATAGTCTATGAACCTCAGAGCCAAAAGGGTGCTGACGAATTTCAACAGTATTGTAACGCCGTGCATGGTCACTGGCGTTTTCATATCTGGTGAAAGTAACCAAACCCGTGCCACTTGCGAAGCCCTGGATTATGGGATGAAGGTCATTTACAGTAAACAATTGATCTACTTGTCCGGTATAAAATGGACCTTGTTTCCAGCCGCCTTCTCAGAATATGGAAGAGGCCCAAACCCGAGGAGACCTATCGATACTCCTTGCTCAGTTGAGGAAGCCCACGCTCGCGAGCGGAAAGACGCCGCGCCGATGGCAGGTCGATAGATGGCGCAGCGATCGCCGGTCAGTAGATGGCGCCCCGCGCGCTGGGCTGCCAAACCAGCATGTTGCCGGGTCGCTGCGTCGCCCGCCTCCCACCAGATTCGAACGCTGGACGGTGGCCATAAGGTCACCGGTGCGGCCCATGTGGGTGTCCTGCGCTGACGGGTTGGGGCGCCTACAGCGTTCGTTTCAATCTCCGCTGCACTGCGTTTGTTGACCGCGCCAGGGCTGAATTCGAGCTGCTTTCGAGGATCGATTCAGGACGCTGCTGGAGGGACTATTATGTCTTCAGCAATTGCCAGATGCTCCAGACATGTGTGCCCTCTCATGATAGATGAACAGAACGCGCGGCTTGAAAGTATAAAGAGACGCGCAACACACCTGAAAAGTACTGGGCCGCTAGTGCAAATAAGATCGAAGTAGTTTCCCTTGAACAAAACTTTGTTAACGACTGGTCATTAGATCAATTTCAGCGGAAAAGTTTCTTGCGTTGAGACCAGTGCTCGAGCCCATTTCATGTTCGTTAAGCACCTTTTATTCGATTCAGTCCCATACAGACCGCTCCAAGAAATCTTACCCAGTAACCATTACAGCACTTACGCTTACGTACTGTACAACAGCTATACGCCTCACTTCAGGCATTATTTCGTACTCTTCCCTATCTGGACATACCTAAAAAGTCAGCATAGCAGACACAGCTGCTTATTTATTGGCAGTTCCTTTACACACAAAAAGTACAATCGTCAACATACACAACGCAGCTGAGAGACGGCTCGAAGTGTTCTCTGAACACATCGCGCTCGAGTCCTTCTAAGTGCAGGGATAAAACTGGAGCAAAATATTGCCATTCACAAAGTACCAATTCCTGGGCGCAGGTGTGGAGCAGCAATTTATAATTGATGCTGTAATAAAAACATCGCTAATATGAGAGCCATGTACGGGGTGCAGAGATGACTCTTGTACAAACACCGCACTCTACGTTTCACAGCTTCCTGACGACCGTAACTGCCACCGCCCTGTGAAAGAAACGCCTCACGTAAGATCATGACAATGCCGCCATGTGGCTGCTGAGCAAGTGTATCCCAGTTAGGTTTTGCACGCTTTATGGCGCTAGAATCTTCCTAAATTCACCAACAAAATTTAGGCAACACATTGCCTCGTAAAGCACTAACTCATGGGTGGTGTTAGTTTTAGCACATACAGTAAATGAGAAGATCCACTTCACATTATGCGCCGAAAGTTTATGCCGTGTGAGTCAACTGCGCGACACCAGAGTAATCAATTGCTGTTCAAAGTCATAGCTGTGTTTAACATCGAGACCAGGACGATCCCTTACGACGACCCCAACAACGACCCCAGTGACCCCTCAACGACCCCAGCTATATCAAGCCGAACCCAACTATCTGCTCACGCGGAGACGCATGGGAAGCAACCTGCGCTAAACCGTGACAAGTGTCGTTACAATACTTCACTGGGGTACAAGTCGTTGTTAGGGGTGCGTTAGGGGTGCTTCTGCCATTTCCAGATTATTCCTCATTCCCCATTCCAACGCCATTTCTGGCGCTATAGTTCTATTGCGTAATGCTCAACGCACTAGGTAAAGATGCACTCTCGTGACGCCGTGCTACTTAAACGCTACTTAAAGCACTGCACGTTGTGCAGCATGGTTCAGCGTACAGCCCGCGGAGCATCAGCCATGAAGCTGAAGCCTTTCATCTCTAAACGCAAAGGGTGATGATTACCACAGATTATCAGGCAGCATGCCCCCGCTGTCACACCAACCACCAGCACCAGCGTTGGTGACTGAAGATGGCCAGAGGCTACCCCAACATAGCGTAGCGCGGCTTACTCGACCAGCATGCCGTTCACTGCTGCTGCTCCAGCCACCGGACGATGCTGTCGTAGTTCTTGTCCATCCAGGCGACGTTCGCGGTGGCATGCTCGATGGCCTGGTCCATGGCACGGTTCGCCTCGCCCATGTTGGCCTCATTCTTGCGCTTAAACTCCTGAAGCTGCAGACAATGCCCTTGGTTGGCCCGCTGTTCCAGATGTGAGCTACTAACTACAGCCACCAAAGCGGTCGGTTGTCAAGCGACAGCTGGGAGCAGCTAACAAGAGGTGCTTCATCGAGATAATACATCGGTTTTAAGACAATTATTATCAAGTTATGACACTCGGTGCACATTTTCATGCATCAACAAATGCAGGTTTAATCGCAGAAATGATTTGCTGGCTGGTGTTGAAGCATCATTCTAGGCGCCGCGCAGCCCTTGAGGAGCGCTAGCAACCGCGGTGACTAAAGAAGCGACCTGAGGACGTAATACCAGCCGGAACTGAACCGGACCTCACAAGCCCCGCACGCTTCCGACAGCCATTTCCCACGCCCACCCGTCCCTCCCGTGAAAGCCGCAGTTTAATCGGAAAACGGGTTTCGATACAAATCGCATGCACGGTGGCAGCGCCGACTGGCGATAACCAGCAGCATCGTGTGCATCCACAATACCTGTTCTAAGTCCAGTCGGGTGTTGTAACCTTCCTTCAGCGGGGCGATAAATCGAGGCAGCGAGAAGATGGCGCTACCATAGCTGTAAAGCCAACAGCAAAAGTGTGAAGGAGGGCTGATGGGTCAGGACTTTATTCGGAGAAGAGAAATTCTATAGCGGGGGAGCATGAACTACTGGAACACTGACCCCGAAATGATGCCACCTCTTGCCTCCAACGGCGTTCGCATGTTTCGCGAGCCCAAATTCATTCATGGAACCGGGGAAACCAAGCATGCACAATCCAATGAGATGTGAACCACACGAACAATGGCCGGCCTCAGCCAATCTAAGTGAGCAGTAAATGCGGAGAACGGTAATGCTGATACCACTAGCACGGACACTTCCCAGTCAGCATGGGGCCACTCACATCTCATCGACGGGTAATACCGATACCACTAGCACGGATGCTTCCCAGTCAGCATGGGCCCACTCACATCTCATCGACGGGTAATGCTGATAACACTAGCACGGACACTTCCCAGTCAGAATGGACCCACTCAAGTCTCATCGATGTGCAATGCTGCTGCCAAAAGCACGGACACTTCCCAGCCAGCATGGGCCCATTCACGTCTCATCGACGGGTAATGCTGATACTACTAGCACGGACACTTCCCAGTCAGTAAAGACCCACTTACATCTCATCGATGGTGTCCCAGTGGTTGCGGAGGAAGTCAAAGGCCAGGTAGCGGCCCTGCACAGAGCCGGTGGCCACCGAATTAAACACCTGAGGTCCATCCTGGATGCGGACGTCGGAATTCGGCGTCACCAGATAGTTCAGGTACCTGGCAGCACGACAAGAGCGTCACCAGATAGCTCAGGTACCTGACAACACGACAATGGCGTCACCAGATGGCTCAGGTGCCTGTCGGCATGACAAGAGCGTCACCAGACAGCTCAGGTACCTGGCAGCACGACAAGTGCTGCCAGGTACCTGACGCTCACGACCTGGCAGCACGACAAGCACGACAAGAGCGTCACCAGATAGCTCAGGTGCCTGACAGCACGACAAGAGCGTCACCAGATAGCTCGGGCACCTGGTAACACGGCAAGAACGTCACCAGGTAACTCAGGTACCAGGAAGCACAAGAGCGCCACCAGATAACTCGAGGACCTGGTAGCACGACAAGAGCGTCACCAGATAGCTCAGGGACCTGGAAGCGCGACAAGCACGTCACCAAATAGCTCAGGGACCTGACTGTGCAACAAGCTCTCCGGCACATAGTTCAGCTATCTGGTGGTACGGCAGACAAGACGTCAGGCGCACGCCCGCTGAAGGGATGAGGGGGTCAGCATTTGGCTAAGACACCTGGTGACGGAACCAAGAACTTCGTCGGGACGGGCACGTCGCCATGTACATCCGGCACATGCCCAGGCAAAATGTTTTACCGTTGATAGTCGTAACTGGACCCGGCGCCCTTGCACCGGATCGGACTGTGGCGCTAACCACAAAACTGACTGACGCGAGTCAAAATACGTCTGCTGTGCAAGGAAGCGCTGTCAACGGTGCTGTGGTGGTGTGATTGTGTTGACGCACCAGCTCCTAAGGAACACCTAGTCATTCCTAGTGTCCAGGCGTAGCAAGGGAACAGAATTCTGACGACCCAGAGAACGCTGAAACTCAGCATCTAGTAACACCTGCACTCTCTTTTCACCGCTTCCAGCTGAGCGCAAGGCCCAGCCCCTGAGACTGATCTCATTTGCGAAGAATCCGGAATGAGTGTCCAAACTGATCTGACCTGCAGCGAATCCAAACTGATCCCTACTATCCAGCATTCAAACAGACCTCGTCTGTTAAAGGACCCAAACTGATCTCACCTGCTGAGCATCCAGATTGATCTCACCTGTTGAGAATCCAGACACTTTTACTGCAGCCGAGCGCAAAAAGCAGCCTCTGCCGCTCCGACGCCACGTTGGACTTCTGGTACTGGCGCCAAGCAAACTCCCACTCTTCGACGCCACCTTCTTCCAGGGCCGTGCAGTACACTCGTGTCTTAATGTTGGGCGGGACGATGCTGCAGACGGCGAGCACAACCACGGAGATTAATGCATCAGCGGTATGGACGTTCGAGCTTATATTTAGAGGTGGGCAAGAGAAGCTGATACCCCTGAAGACAGCATCAGGTGAGTCATCAAGCGAAAGCCCAAAAGGTTTCAAGGGCGCAAATGACCCAAACGTAACCTCCGCATATTGCCACGAATGCAGCGACAACTAAATACAAGATGTGCTCGCTGGAGGGAGATAAAAGCAAACAACAGCCGCGGACGTGCGTCCGGCGCCCACCTGGCATCGGCAGGGTTGGCCATCCACTGTTGGAACTTTTGGACAGCGCTGCGCCGGCACTCCGCGTGGCCCATGCCGCAGGCCCAGGTGAGCAAGCTACTGCGCGTGAGGTGGTCCAGGTGCGAGTCGCCCGGGCCCTCGTCGAACCCGATGCGGGCGTACAGCGGCTCGATCAGCTTCAGCACGAACCGCTGGCGGTGGCGACGGAAGGGCGTTGTCGTGCGGTAGTCTTGTGACGCAACCACCAGCATTACGATCACGGTGTGTTCGGCCAGCTGGGGTACAGCACATTCAGTTCCTGTCTTGAGTGACATGCTGTAATGACGAAATGCATACCGCAGTACTGACACAGCATGCCGCAATAACTTTATGGAAGTTAAAAAAGCACCTTGATACATCCATACAGCGTGACAACGGCGCGGCCTCTTCCGTCACATACTGTGTTGCACGTAAAAAACGACTAGCATGACAGCAGTGCCATCTTTCGGCAGCACTGAATGTTACTACGCGTCATGGTTTGTCGAAGCCTTCATTCCTCTTTAACAATCGACTCAAATGAGGAGCCAGTGACACTGCGCGTCTCATCCCATCTGTGCGGCTGTCTGCTGGATGACCTGGAATGCTCCGTATCCGGGCGTGCGCTCGAGCTGCGAGTCGAGGAACTCTAGGTTTTCGAAGGCGGCGTCCCAGGGCAGGAAGTCGTTCTCACGCTCCAGGTAGCTGATGACTGCCAGTGCTGTCTCGTATTTCAGCTGGCCGGCGCGCGCCAGGTCCAGCGAGTCGTCGATCAGCTGCAGGGTCAGAGGTCAGGTCACGGCAGGTCACCGGAGATCGGGCTGGGCCAGACTGGACCGCCCGGGGCAAAGCAGACGCGGAGCGCCTTCGGCCGATGTCCGTACACTTGCGTGGCAGCTAACCGGCAGCAGCTATTGACACTGTTTTCCCTGGCAAGCTCGTTGTCGCACCGCTTTTCAATCTTTGAAATTCCGCTCGATCGCATTTAACTTCAACAGTAAACCCAAGGCAGCTCAATACTAGCTTGTCTGAAATACTTCATTGTAGACATAACTCAATGCTAAGCAAACCACAGAATACAATATCCAATTGATGAAAAAATGTCTGATTAAAACGGACAGTGTATATCTTTTCAGCGAGGAGGGTGCTGTGCGTGCACGGTATTCGACTTTACCAGGACCAGAGGCAACGTTTAGAAGTCGCGCAATGCGGTTTGAAAAATAACTTATCACAATCACAAGGTTATACCTCACAAATCACATGTTATACCTCACGTTGGACCGTCTTAATTTGCCTCTTAAGCAGGAGAAGATATATCAGAGTATTGGTGGGCTCAGTCTATTTATGGCAGCGATACTAGAGAGAGTATTCCGGAAAAAAATGGGGTAGAAATGATTTAAGGTTGACATCAGGCGGTGTGCTGACAGAATGGCAAGCTGATGACTCGTTCAAACTTTGGCAACATGCCTAATAGCAGACGTTTCCCTGCTTGTAGTAAAAAATTCGCCTAAAATAATGATATGCTGCTACAAAATGTGAACTTCTAATTTGTTGTAAACGAATTAAGTTGTAACCATCGAAGCGTTTTCATTGACTTCTCCGCATAAGGTTAACCAGTGCACGTCTTTGCGCATCCTTTCAAGGAGAGGCTACAGCGGGCATCACCCAGGGGACGTGGCGCAAACAAGATTCAAACTCAGGTCTGACTTCCAGCTCCACGCGTTAGCGGAGGGGCAAGGCGACTCTGCCATCAAGCTCGCGATCAGTTTGACTTCAGCCTTTGCCCCCTGAGTGACTCATCCGAAGAGTCACTCACGAGTCGGAGAAACTGAGCCATTGTGGTGCTGCATGCTCATATGCAATGTTTATCAGAAGTATGTGGTGCGAACGTTCACGATGCACTTGATAAAATAGTCTGTCGCCGTGGCGCAGGGACACCGTTTGCTCCATTGCCATGTTGCAATCAACGGAAACAAATACGTCGTCCGCCCTGCCCCATCACCTGGGCTCTGTTCACTGCGTGGATGGCGTTGTGGTCGTCCTGAAGCTGCTTAATCAGCATGAGCCAGTTGCGTTCGTCGTAGTTGACTTTAAAGTAGCCCATCTCCTGGACGTTCAGGATCATCCACTGTTCGGCGCTGGCAACGTCTGGGAAGTCAGACGTACACGTAGCGTTTATCCACTGTGATTATATTCACCTTTCCATCTACCTGGTGCGTGACGTTCATAAATATATAAAAACGTTTAGCGTGCGACACTTTCCACCACTCTGCTACACAGCAATTCGTCTGTATTACTGCACGTATACGCATGCATCTCTATCGCGTTACATAAAACAAGAAAAGTTTGATGCCCACTGCTTGGCGAGACTGAAATATGAGGGACGCTGTATAATTCCAGACCAGATCTGATTAATCAAAGACGCCCGCCGTGTGACCTCGATATCATCAAATACGTTCATGCTGTCATACATCCAACAAACAATGACCAATGGCGTCCAATGGTAGGCTGCGACACGTATCGGACTTGTCCATCTTTTTCCGCACCTGTGCTTTGCTTCGCATCTTTGCTTTTTCGCGACACGATTTTCATTTGCAGCAGCCATAAGCATCCAGCAATACATCACTAGAACAGCTGGTGAGGGTACTCACGCCAGCCATGCGATACATCACCAGAACAGCTGGTGAGGGTAGCCAGGGCAGCCATGCGATTCATCACCAAAACAGCTGGTAAGGGCAGCCAGGGAAGCCATACGACACAGCACCAGAACAGCTGGTGAGGGTAGCAAAGGCAGCCATGCGACACAGCACCAGAACAGCTGGTGAGGGTGGCGAGGGCAGCCATGCGACACATCACCGAAACAGCTGGTACGGGTAGCCAGGGTAGCTAGGGAAGCCATGCGACACATCACCAGAACAGCTGGTGAGGGTAGAAAAAGCAGCCATGCGACACATCACCAGAACAGGTAGCGAGGGCAGCCATGGCAGCCATACCAGAACAGCTGGTGAGGGTAGCCATGGCAGCCACGCCACACATCACCAGAACAGCTGGTGAGGGTAGCCAGGGCAGCCATGCGACACATCACTAAAACGGCTGGTAGCCAGGGTAGCCAGGGAAGCCATGCAACACATCACCAGAACAGCTGGTGAGGGTAGCCGGGGTGGCCAGGGCAGTCCCGTGAAACACCTCACATCCGGGACCATCTCACCATTCAGGGTCACCTGCCGTTCCTTCTTCATCCACTGGGACGGCCTGGTGCTGTTGAAGTTTTTGGCTGATTGTGTGGTGTACACCAGCGGCACCCACCACAGGTACTCCGCGGAGCTGTTGGCCCCATGGAACAGGAATCGATTCTGAAAGGAATAAGGGGCACCAGAATCAGAAGCCAGCCAGCTTCGTCGCATCCAAGACAGGTGTGTAGCGGATTTAATATTAATAGGGCTTGGGATGACAGTGCAGCGCGTGACGTCCATCGTCCAAAAGACGAATTCTGACACCAGAGACGACGCCGAGGACGCCGCTCGACTGAGTGCTGCCTACCTGCGTGAGCTGAGCCGAGTTCCTTTCGTAGTTTCGACGCACGTCCACCAGGGGGAAGCCCATCTGCAGGGTCCAGGTGTCCATGACCTGCTTGACGGTGGTGTCGGAAGGAAGCGTGCCGTCCCTGTGCGCTTGTTCCGTCAGGAAGTGCCACAGGTCGTCCTGGTCTGCCGCCTGGTACTTCCTGAACGGGAGGGGAGGGGGAGGGGGGCACAGGCCAGTCAGCAGGTTAAGCGGTCAGCCATCTATAAGGTCAATGAACAAAAGGCCTTCAACCAATCAGCGAAGGCGAGCGATCGCTTTCATCCTCCCGCAGGGTGCCCTTACAACCCTGATACGTTTCCACGAATGGCATCTGCCGAGGAGAGCCATAAACGGTTTTACGCATTAGTTAAAAGCAACCGCGAATCTTTAGCGTCTTTTAGCCCCCGTCCTCGCCACGCCTGCCACGCCACCTACCGCAGTTTTGCTGGCCCTAGCGCCGGGCGGTGTAAAATTTTGCCCAGGAGCAGGCAATGTCGGTTAGGATGTTATCGTCGGCAGCACTCAGGTACATGGTCATGTCGTGTTGTCTCGTCTCACGTCGACCCTACAATGGTACGCTGCATCCTACGCTACCCTAGAGCTGTGTGCGCGCTCAACCTCGACCTATGATGTGCATCACACTTTAACATCGATCCAAAGGTCTTCGCACTCCACGGCAAGAGAAGTGCTGCGACCGCATGACAAAGCATGTCGCTACCAAGCCCACCTGTCTGCGAGGTAGTTGGCCAGTCCGTTGCGCAGGGTATCAGTGCTGAGCGTGAGGTCCATCATGCGGATTATTGACGCTCCTGAAACGTGCCAATGTCCAGCGTCATCAGCACACGCTTTGTCACATGTTGGCACTACCTGCCCGCCGACACTGTTCGTCCATCCGATTATTAACATTGGGATCCATTCCAGGACAGCTGGTATCACTGACTTGCGGGTTAACTATACAGGGTTAAAGTGGGAATGCAAAACCTCTGACGACACAGAGGAAAGCGGTCGTGCAGTTTCTGGGCATACACGCATGCAGTTGTACTTTTATTTATCTCAAACACTATACTTGCATGATCATCACCACAAACTTGCACAGTTGGAAGTTTGGAACAAAGGCCCATCAGAATATTTGTATGTCTCGGAGCATTTCTCACGTGGTGCGACATTCCTACCCCTTCGCATAAACCGTATCACTCACGCTGAACACACGACTTTCCCAACGCCGATTTCAGGCCTACGGGACTGAGTAGCAAGCTTCTGCATTTCATTAGGTATCATCGCCACGACAAAACTTCGACGGGTTATGTAATCCAATACGCAGAGAATTAGAATGAGTAATGAGCTGATTGGGGTAGACATTTTGGGGCCATGCAGGCATGAGTGTGATTACGGGTAAGACCCTCAGGTAAATCGGCCTAAACCATACGATAAATATCCCAGTGCTGTGTGGCCAAGTCTGTTTTAACCAATGTTAGCCGAGGTCACGCCAGTTCTCACAATTAAGTAGCGCCTAAAGCCTAAGCCTGAGCCTGTTGACCGTGCGTGATCTGTAACCCGAACCTTGGACAAAGCTGAATGAGTGGGCTTGAACTATCACTGATATTTCTGGGTCCTAACCACATCACGTTTTAGGTCGTTTAAATTACTGCTACGTGTTGACCGTGCATAGGAAACAAAACACTACATCATGTGTGGCACCAAACTAGAGATGTGCTCCAATGCCACGCCAGGTATGGCCAGGTCCACGCCGACAACGAGTACGCAGGACTGGATGAGAATGGTCGAAGGAGGGTGTGGTCATGCCCCCAAGTGCGGACTGGATTGGACCGGGACAATCCACTCTCGTGGAGGTCTCTCCCCATCCCCGCCGTGCCAGGACGACCGCTCTGATCGGACTGCTGCCAGGCTGCCAGGTGACCTTTGCACCAAGCCCAGCCAAACAAAACCCTAGTTCTGGATGTAAAACCGCGGCCGCTGCGTTCCGATAATCGGTTCAGTTGCACCGCTGAAGCCATTCCCGCGTTACCAGCCTGCGCAAGTCACTGACCGCGCCGCTCACTACGTGCTATCCAAATTCCAAAAATAACGGTAGGATCAACAGCAAAATGCAGTGAGCTTAACGCAACCCGTTGCCGCTCAGTCTCAATCGAGCAATGGCAGGAGAGAAGCGACCCCCGGTGATTTGCAGCCATGTGGTGTTCATGCGATAATTTATGTTGGTGAGTGCGAGTGACCCTTTCGTACTTCTTGGATTGGGTAAACTGCTACCGAAGTCGTTCAGGCTGTTTTCGAAGTCTCCTCCGTCTTACGCACCAATGGCGGTTCCATTCGGTTGAGTGCTTTACCTACAGGAAACAATCTTGGTAATTGTACCCACCAAAGAGTCTCCTTTCCCGTGTACCCCATCCCTCGGCGCCTTGCCAGGCGGCGATCCCTGGCACACGGACACGAGTTGTTAGACCCAGAGCGTACCCTTCTGGTAGGAGATGCGGTCGAAGATTTGACCGATTTCGTCTGGGTGCTGCACCACAATGGAGATGGGGTGCGACGACTCCAGCGCGTCCATGGTCATCACATGTTGCACCTGACTGGTGATGAACTGCTCCATGACGCGCCACGTGGGCTCCACCTGACAGCAGAATGTCGGCGTCACCGCCCTGCTGAAAACACAGGCGGTCCCGGATGGGCCGCAGAACCAGGACGGAGGCGAACAGAGGTGGCACAGAGGTGAAGAGAGGGTGATGGCACGGAGGTAAAGAGAAGGTGGTGGCACGAGGACAAAGAGAGGGTGATGGCACGGAGGTAAAGAGAGGGTGATGGCACAGAGGTGAAGAGAGGGTGATGGCACGGAGGGGACAGAGAGGGTGATGGCACGGAGGGGACAGAGGGGGTGATGGCACGGAGGGGACAGAGGGGGTGATGGCACGGAGGGGACAGAGAGGGTGATGGCACGGAGGGGACAGAGGGGGTGATGGCACGAGGACAAAGAGAGGGTGATGGCACGGCGGTAAAGAGGGTGATGGCACAGAGGTGAAGAGAGGGTGATGGCACGGAGGGGACAGAGAGGGTGATGGCACGGAGGGGACAGAGGGGGTGATGGCACGAGGATAAAGAGAGGGTGATGGCACAGAGGTAAAGAGAGGGTGATGGCACAGAGGTGAAGAGAGGGTGATGGCATGGAGGGGACAGAGAGGGTGATGGCACGAAGGGGACAGAGGGAGTGATGGCACGAGGATAAAGAGAGGGTGATGGCACAGAGGTAAAGAGAGGGTGATGGCACAGAGGTGAAGAGAGGGTGATGGCACGGAGGGGACAGAGAGGGTGATGGCACGGAGGGGACAGAGGGGGTGATGGCACGAGGACAAAGAGAGGGTGATGGCACGAGGACAAAGAGAGGGTTGATGGCACGAGGACAAAGAGAGGGTGATGGCACGAGGACAAAGAGAGGGTGATGGCACGGAGGGAAAGAAAGGGTGATGTCGCGGGGCGGGGGAGAGAGAGGCCGATACTGAGTGATGCCGCCTGTGGACGGAAGGGCGCGTCGGCGGACGCCCCCCCCCTCAGGAGTGCGCTGCATGTTTACCGGCCCGGCCCAGCCCGGCCCCATCCGGCGGTGGACTGGCAGCCGTCTGCTGCACACTCTGACCGAGTCGACATTTAACATGGCCCACCTCATCGCGGTGGGGTACTCCTGTTGTGGATGTGACCCTAGCAGGCTCTTTAAATTGACAGCCCCAAACAGGTGAAGAGGCGAAATGGTCTTCAAGCCCAGTTTAGAAGAAAGGTGCTGGGCTTGCGATCCGTCGGAACTAGGTTTAACTCCTACGACGGACGCATCGTATGCCCCAACTGACAACTGGCAACTGACGGCCGAGAGGGCTAGCTTGACCTGAGGTGAGCGTGTCGTCGCGCTGCGCGACCCTGGGAACTCAGCGCGGTTCGGCCGGGCCACGTGTCAGAAGTCAGATAACCAGAATGTCCGGGTGGGCTCACGTTGAGTAGTGCGCCCAAAGTATTCGCGCAATACTCAACGAGTGTTCCGACAAATTCAATGTCATGCGCGCAGCGATTCTGAGCAAACAAAAAACAACACCATTGAGACAGTGGGCACTTGAACCTCCCCCCTCTCTCCTGGCCTCGATCCCTCATGTCTTCCAGTCTGCGGTACATTTAGTAGCCACCTGGTGCATCCCGAGGAACTCCATGTAGCTGGCAAAGCCCTCGTTGAGCCAGAGGTCAGTCCACCAGCTGGGCGTCACCAGATTGCCGAACCACTGGTGGGCCAGCTCGTGCGCCACCACCTGGGCTACGCGCTGCTTGTTCTTCCAGGAGGACAGTTTGGGGTCGTACAGCAGCGCTGTCTCCCTATGATGAGAGGGGCGGGGATCACGCACGGGCAGACACGGCCCAGTCATCCTCGGACGCGACCCAGATCACACGGATCGCACGTGGATCACACGTGGATCACACGGATCACACGTGGATCACACGTCGACCATGAGGATCACACGTGGATCACGTGTGGATCACACGCAGACCATACGTGGATCTCATGTGGATCAGGCGGCGCGGTGAGTCACAATCCCCAGTCGTGACACCAATGGTCGACCATGATGCACTGATGCCGACCATGTGAACCCACTGGCGACGGCATCACTCGGGTTTCATGGTGCGCCGATGGTATTGGTTACCGCTGGTCGACTGCGAGACGTCACAGCGAGAGACTAACTAATGAAGGTGGCTGTTCCGTTCCAGCCACCTGTAAGTGATGAGGCCCCAGTTCTCCATGGCGCCGGCAGCGAAGTCGGGCAGCGCAGCCATATCCTGCTTGGGCAGCGGAAACTCGGTCTTGAAGAAGTCCTCGAAGTACTCGAGGATGGCTGGACCGATGGCGCGCGCGTAGTCGCCCTGTTCGATGGCCGCCGACCGCGCCCACACTGCCGACCATGCACAACCATGACAGCAAGCACAGCCTGCGACCATGCACAGATCGATGCGTAGTTGTTTCCAGCCCAGGCGCTCACGTCCGTCTGCAAAACCTGTTTTAAGCCGACCGAAAAGCAGCGCCACAGACCAGCGCCGTTGCGGTTTTGCATCACTGTGTTTGTGATCACATCGCACGGCCGTGTCGCCCTGATGCACCGGTCCAGGTTGTTTTCCAGGCGAGGTCCAAACTGCCAGCCCCTTGACCCCAGCTTCGTCTGCCTAACAGAGAATGAGTGACCTTCCGCTGACCTCTGAGCCTAGAGTCCGCGTTATCCAAGCGCCCCGGTCCTCTAGCGCCGTGATCGATAGCCCCAGTTGACATTTGAACAAGGCTTGATGTTCGCATCCGACCTTAGGAGTATGGACTCTCATTCAGCGTGGGCGACCCCCACCACCAGCACCCCCTCCCCCCGAACATGTGTTCCGGCACATAACTTTGAGAAGAAAGAAGTCTAAAACCGGTCACAAACCGTTTTTTGTAGCGAATTTGTGAGTAGGTTTCGTCTTTCTCCACTGATCAGCCCTCCCCCAACTTATTTTGCGAAACAACAACCCTGTCCGGCCCACTCCCCCCAATGACCATGCCCGCAACCTTCAACTACGGGCACCGAGCGCTCAATGAGTGACCTTCAGCTGACCTCTGAACAGAGTGTCGCTCAAGCCGGGCTCCGCCTGCTTGACAGCCAGGTCGCTGACGAGGAAGGCCACCAGGTACGTCGACATCGGCACAGACTTCTCGTAGATATCCCACTCGAAGCCGGGCATCTTGTCGCTGGAAACGCGGAGTGACACCACTGATACATCAGCAGCGAGGGCTAGACCAGCTCCAGGGCCAGCATTAACATCAACGCCATCTTCACTAGCACCAGCAACGACACCAACAGCAGAGCCAGTGCTAGGCAAGGCTACCATGGACCAGAGGTCGGCCGCTGACGTTCTTTGTAAACCCCCAGGCTTGGACAAGACTCTTCTGCTTCAGGAAAAACTATGCCCTTTCGGCTGCCGATGCCGATGTTGGGCGTAGTTTTCTTTGCCAGGAGGCCTGGATCTGTGTGATTGTTTGTGTGTATGTCTGTGTGTGTGTGTGTGTGTGTGTGTGTGTGTGTGTGTGTGTGTGTGTGTGTGTGTGTGTGTCTGCGGTTGTGAAAGGATCATCGGCGTTTTCAGCTTACGATACGAGCAAAGGTATAGAAACATTTTAAGGTTTGGCCACCATACCGTTTTTTAAACCATTTTTGTAAATTCAGTCCGAACCTTTTGTATGGATGGATTTCTAGAGTGAGGGCTTATCCTAAGCAGTGCGTGTCGTATGAGCCCTGGCCCTTACCATCCGATCGCAAAATTCCAAGCAAACGGCAAAATTCCGTGGCGAAAGCTTAACCCACCACAATCCTCAGCATGGTCCGCCTCGCCCTCCGCACCGCACCGCACCGCACCGCGCCGCACCAGACCATATCATATCATATCACATCATATATTACGTCATCCCATGCCATGTACCGTACCACACCGATACGGTACATGGCATGTACCGTAGCGGTGCATGTACCAGTACAAATACGTACGTATCGTACGTACTCTACCGTACCTGTACAAATTAGATCAGACCAGATCAAACTAGTACATTGCGCACACCACGCAGTTTTGGGCTTTGCCTGTCAGTGTCTTGACCGCATAGCGAACATCTACGACCTTGCAGATTCCTTGCGCATGACCTAGCATTTTCTGCAAACGACTAGTGATACAAGGCACTGGGAGGGGCAGAGAGCCGGCACCCGCTTTATAACTCACAGACGGACGCGGAGCGACGGCGACTGAGCTCCTTTTCATTGCATGCAGCTCAGAAGACGAAGCAAAAGATAGATTCGGCGGCGAGGGGGGTCCACAAACATTCTTATACCTGGCATGCACCTCCGTATTTTACACTCGGCGCAATAAATGTGTCGCTGGGAACGAGTAATACGAGTCATGATGTATATACGTTAGAAATGTGACATTAAGAGTTATATCACCAAACAAGTCATGCGGAGTCAGGGTGTCCTTACTTTTGCACGGTCATCCTGATGGGCATATTGGACGCCGACGTCATCCTCTTCGGGCGACCCAGAGTCATCTCAAAGGTTGCCTTTAACGCTGGCTCGTCCAGGCACGGGAACGCCTTCCGGGCGTCAGTGGGCTGGAACTGAGTCACGGCCATCCATCTGAAACACATCCACACCAGATGAAGTCCCAGTGTCCATGTACCCAGCCAACGAGCGTACGCACTTTAACTCCCGTCGTTACAGCAAACTTGCCACAGCTGCTAAGGTTTACTCACCCAAGTAATCCAAAAACGACCTGAGGGGAATTAGCTGAAGACATCAGGAAGTGGTTGAAGCTAACTTAGCTTTCTCCTTGTGATCTCCCCCATGGGATTGTAAGTGGCGGTTTAACAAGGCGTCGGTTCGTAGCTTTACTCGACGAAAGCAGGCCCACGACGGGAAACACAAGCTCCGCCCACGCGGCCGGCGCGACTCAACCCGAGTCGGCGGGTGACAGGGAGCACGAGAGAGGTCATGTCACGATGTATCGGCGCGTCAGGTTACAGCAGACCCTCTTCCGGGCCACGCCATGCCGTGTGGAGTCGGCCCGGGCTGCGGCGGGCCTCGGCCAGGTCGAGGCGCGATGCGCTGGCATGTCGGATCTCTACGGAAGCGTAGCTCCTCCAAGAAACGTAATTCCTCCACGGATTAAGGTCTCGCCCACGTGTCTTCTCCGTCTCCTCACGACTTTGGGGCTGGGCACCTCCGCAATGCCAGGCACAAGATAGGTGAAAACCACGTATAAATATGATTTGTGGAGCTACCCATGCACTGTGCCGTCCGCCCCTCAACGCAGGTAGCCAGAACGTCAATATCTTCTGTTTCGTGTGGAGGGGAAGTGAGGTTTTGATGTAGGGTAACGTAAGCCAGGGAGAGAGAAGGAAAAGCGGAGGGAGGGGGAGATTTTGGACAGCGCAACGTTACGAACGCCATATACCGGTGGATTCCTGTAATGACCAGGGACACGCGCATAATTTGTTTCGCACCTCCAGCTGAACTAGCAGCCGAGCGGACGTTCGAGGGGAGGGGGTCGCCCAGCGTAACCAGTGCACAACTAGGCGGAGGAAGGGCCTAAAATAGTTAAAAATACCCAACGTAGTTTACGAACGGCTTCATGCAACGATTAAGTGATCTCTATCTTGATCCAACGGATCTCTGTATTTTCCGGCGTCATAAAACGGCGCATGAAGAGTAATAAGGCCTGACAGCTGGACACCGAGAAAATCATACTGCACAGCGACTGAAGCCATCGTTAAAAGCAGAGTTTAAGTCAACTTTTTCTGAAGTCTCCGTTGCCCACACGTTCGCTAGGTACATAGGCAGAGTTTCCACGCGTGCGGTACATGGATCACGTTTCAACGGGCTGAAGCCTGTGTCTTTTACTTTCTGTCTTTCACTTTTTATCAGCTACTGGTTTTAACCGGTGAAACCCGCGTAACGTGACAGAAGACCCGAAGGTCAAGCTACTTTCCCTCCCGACATCACCGATGCGTCTCCCGACTGAGTATTACCAAGTCGAAGGCATCACATCGCTTCCCTTTAAGCCAAATAATGAATAAATCAATCGCATCACCCTTATAGCACAACGTGACCAAGACACGTCGCACCTGTCACGTGTTATAATAGGCATGTGACCTTCGTGCTCCAACGATATTAGATGGTATGGCAAAAGGGTATTTTGTGTGGCAATGCTGCTGCTAATGAAGCGCTAAGTACCGTCAAGTGAAAATTCGTTTTGGTAAAGGTGCACTTTGCGATATTCACTCAAACCATTCACCATTTGGCAATACCTTGGTCAAGGTAACAAAAGCGAAATCCATAAAAATTCATCAACTTCGTCAATTAAGATTGCCGGGTCTTGACCCGCCTGAAGTACTGGGTGAGTGACAACATTATTTCCTATTTCGGTGTCATCTGCACGGTAATAGGTCATGACACCCATGTAGGTCATCACCTCCCTGGCCCTACGCTGCAGAAGGCGTCTTACTGGTTTGTGCCATTCCGGCAAAATTCCCCTTGATGCTGCAAGGTGTGTTCACAAATACAATATAAACTGGTATGACAGTTTGATACTGCCTTTCTGACGCACAGGCATTGCCCACAATTAGAGAAGCGCAAATACTTTTGGTGGACGCCGTCCAGAATAAGCTAGACTAAACGCCAGTGTTTCTTATACCATGCGTCGTTATGTGATCCAACAGTATGGCTGCGGACGAAACTTATCGCATAAAACAGGATGCACGCCATTATGTCGGTAAATGATATGAGGTTAGCATTACCTGCAGGAAAAAACGCACTGGGCTAGCGTTACTTCGCAAAAACGCCTGAGGCCTCGTTTACAAAAAGGGTGTCTCCTTGTCCAGGACAGGGGCCTTCTAGTTCGTAACGGGGGCCTCCCATTTCACAACGAGGCCTCCTAGTTTGTAGTGGGGCCTCCTAGTCCGTACCGGGGCATCCTAGCTCATAATGGGGTCTCCCAGTTAAAAGTGAAAGCCTCCTGGTCCCTAAAATGGCCTCCTAGTTAATAACGGACGCCTCTTTCTTCATAGCGGGAGCCTCCCAGTTAACAACAGTGGTCTTCTAAGCCAGCAAAGAGCCTTCCTGACACAAAATTGGGCTTTCTGAGCTAGAGCATGAGCTGTCTTATTCATAAAGGCTGCTTCGTGATCTAGAAAACGGGCCTCTTAATGCAGTAAATAATCTTCTGAGCCCAATAAAGTACCCTCCAGCTAAGTTGTGGGGGCCTCCTTAAACGGAATTTGGTAATGTAAATGAGCTACAAAACCTTTGATTAGGCACAGGGCCTTCCGGGATTGCAAGGAGGCAAAAGAAACTCTTGCCCCCCCCCCCCTTGCCCGCCGGTTTTGGTTAAGAGCACAGCGCACTCTTTTTGAGGCCGCGGTTTTGGAAAACGTGACGCCGGCCACTTTTCGGTGGTCTGCTGGCACACGGAGGGCACAGCCACGGACCGGCCGGGACTGAGACCACTCAGCGATTCGTAGACGCTTCAGTCGCCTGCAACGTGCAGCTGGTGCTACGCCTTTGTCTGTCTCGGCTGCCGCGATTCGGTATCAGAGCTTGAGGATTGCCCAAGAACGGCCATCCACGGTTCACGCTCGGGAGCACGGGACCGGCTGCGCGTAATCATTCAAACTGTTTCCAAATAGGATTATCGTTTCAGTTGTTCGCCAAACTGCGGCTCGGATCTTGTGTCGTCACGACGGATTCGATGCATGTTCTGCAGCTTTTTCGCAAGTAGAGCATTTTACGTTTCCCCGTTAATTGAATGGAATGGGACTTTTGTCGTAATAGTGCAACGCTGTAGGGAAACCCTTCTACATCGAACAGTCTGTAGGCAGATGGCCCCTGAAGACCTAACAGAAAATTTACAAAACGATTGTGTCACCGTGTCACCGATCCGTCGGTGATCACATCACACGGCGATTGTGTGTCACCGATCATGTCGCCGAAAGCTGCATGATTCTGAAAGTGTCGCCGAAATGTTGGTGAAATATCGCTGAATGCTGTACGAGCATGCACGAGCATGCACGAGCATGAAGCACGAGCATGCGTCCAAAGATCAAAGGCGCAGCTGGCTGAACCGAGCCGGGCCGGGCCGCTGAACCTACATTTCCTGTTCGTTGTTCGTTGTTGCACAACGCACGTGCGCCGTGCGACGCGGCACATGGAGAGTGACGTGTCGAGCGGCTTGCCACGGCGCAGAACTAATGCGAGTTTCGCGTGACGTCGAGCCCGAACACGGCCTCCCTGCAGCTAAACGCCCGACACGGCAGCTGATTAAATGGATAAAATGAAGGCGAACCATTTGTGACCTTCACGGACTCACCTCGTTGTCACACGTCGAAAAGGCGATGTGATGAGGGCGCCCTGCTATTTTGATTTACGCGGTTTCCACTGGATGGGACTTTGCTCAATTTGTCTTTACTCGCTCTGATTGTTTCAGAGCTAAATGATTGCGAATAAGGATAAGACATGATTGAGGTGACCTGTCAGTAGACCCCGCCTGATCGAAAACCTCACACTTCCGTGGAAAGATGACATACAAGTTATACGAGACGCTTAACGACCCGTTCACAGTGCCAATAAACCATGTATGGCCTTCCTCTCAATAACGCTAGACGTGAAACCACGGGGTACCTCGGGCCGATCGCGGAGCCAGTGCTCTAGAATCAAGACAACCGCAACGAATCCAATAAATCATGTCATATATGTGTCATCCCTTTTGTAGCCTGTCCCAAAAGAACGTCACAGAATCTTCAACTGACAAGTGGACGTATGCAGTCGCGCAGCCAAAGGGGGAGGGGAAGGGCTCATGCGGCTTTACCTCACCCCGTCAGAATTGAGTGCCGTCTTTCACGGCATTCCGGGATACACTTCCGCAACCTGGTTGTTAGGAGACTCATTTCGGCTCTACATATCATTGGATAACATGGGCAGTGGCATGTTCCGAACAGTCGTAATTTAGTGACAAGGTCAGCGAATAGCCAAGTGGATGTGTGTTGTACGCTGTCGAGATTAGTTTTCGGCACCTGGTCAAAACCAATATTGACAGCCTATTGCTACGTTAATTAGGTACTTCCTTATAAGCGTTTGTGTGGTCTGTATTCTAATCTCAGGGAGGAGGTCCTTTGAATGGAACATGGACTCGTCCCTGAAAAGTCGGCTGCCACTGCAAATCCTAGTCCCTCCGCGCCGCAAATCCTAGCTACGCCCCTGCTCGTATGCAGTGGCATACCATCGCAATGCGTCGATAGTGGTAGCCACATGCAAACAGATAGTGAGCCATTGTGATACGACATAGTTTGTTTACCAGCTGACCGAATTGATGTTTGATGCTCCCACACCCCACATAAAACTAAAATGGCTCTGACATGACGAAAAATAAGACTTAAGTCACTTTCCTTCCTTTTCGCTGCCAGATTGTCTTTGCATTGCCCCGATGTTTATCGACGTGCCGAATATCAACACTCACAGAATAGGCCACGTGCTTTAAGGTTCAAGGCTCACCCAACACACGCGACATGCCACCACCCACAACGGCGGCTTACCGCTTCTCGCCCTGCGGAGTCTCGTAGCTGCTCCGGTAGAAGCCGGCCAGCTTGTCGTTCAAGTTTCCCACGAAGCGGATGTACACGTCGTACTTGCGTCCGGGCTGCACGTCCTCCGCCAGCACGACCACGAAGAACTCCCTATCGGTGTCGTACCGGTAGCCGGCCACTTCCAGCCCCCGCGCCTCCGCCACGTCCGTCACCGTCACAGAGTCGTTGAACACCGTCATGTCGTTGACGTGGACGGTGACGTTGCGGCCCGGATGGTCAGCGCGCAGGCGGATGGTGACCTCACCGCTGAAGGTGAAGTTGCCTTCCTCGATGAACGGCAGCAGGCGCACTTGGTATGCCTCGGGCGCCAGGTGACGCGGCAGGCGCACGTCGCGTATTTTGGCCGCGGTGCCGCCACCGTCGGGGGGCGCGGCGGGACCCCCCTGCGATCCGGCGTCCGACGGGGTCTGCTGGCAGGGCGCGCCGTACCGGTGCACCAGCAGGCCCGTGACCAGCAGCGCAACAGCGAACAGTAGCAGCAGTAGCAGGGCGCAGCAGCGCGTCACGAAGCAGCCAGACGCCTTGCTGAAGGTGACCGCCTCGTGGCCAGAGTCCATCGTCAGCTCCTCGTGGGACGCCATGACACCGGACGCCTGCCGACAGGGGAGTAGCAGCTTCAGCGCTGAGCTCATCACACACAGCGCCCGTCAACGGCTAGCGCACAAGATGACAATGCGTGTGTAGTTTCCTCTACACCTGTACCGGCGGAAGGGAACTTATTATATACATATTAATCCATATATATATATATATATATATATATATATATATATATATGTATATATATATATACCTGGGTTTGTGTGTATGTATATATGACAGCTCATCACCGGAAGAATTTACGCTCTTATACGTAAATGGTGGTGATGCTTCCTGTCTTTGTTCCTTGCTTTAACCACACTGGTTTGGCATGCACTTTGTGTCATTCACTGTAGTTTCGTTTACCCGCGATCGCTTTTATTTCGCTGATGTCTTCCTTTGCAACAATCATGATGAGAGTACACGAAGTTCTAAATTTGCAACAGTCCCTATTGTCTGTCGGTGATATTCGGTTATTTCAAGAATAAATCCGTCGCGACATTGTTAATCGTTGTGGGAAAAGAGGCTCTACTTATTACCGTTGTTATAACCGCTGTTCAGTTGATAGACTTAACACATTTGATCCTAAGTGCTTCTAAATCCCATCGTTTGATCCAAAATATTAATTAAGTCCTGCTTTCAGCTTTACATGGTCTAGATCACAGGGGCGCAGTTTCGCAAAATGTGTTGGGGGGGGGGGGGAGGGGCTGATCAGTGAAAAATGACGCATCCTTCTGTGAAAAAAACGTCAAGGAACTGCTTTCTCCCGCATTTGGCCAACGTGTTTCAGAGGGTTGGGGAGCCCAAGTTGGAGGGGGGGGGGGGGGGGGGGGCGCGTGAGCGGGAGCAAGTTACCCACCTGAATACGAAACTTCGCCCTCGCCAGTCTCATTACTGAAATGAACAATATAACGCTTTGCTTGGGGACAGAAAAGTTCACAAAACTCTCACAAAATCTTTCTATTCAAGCCATGCAAACTGGTAAGGTTCGTTGGATAGATTTTTCGACTTGAGTCCGTTCCAGTTCATTTCGGTTCAATGACGGGGACTCCCGGCAGAGTTCGGGCAGCCAAAGCTTACCCGCCGACGAGCTGAAAATGTCCGAAACGTGACTGAACGATGACAACTGCCTGCCCAAGATCGGTGCGACGCACAGGTTTGTGCCTTGCTGCACTGGAAGGCAAACGCTTCAGCCCTATACGGAAACGGGACGATGTTTCCCTTACCGTGCCCAATCCCTGCCAGCCACCTCAGGAAGACACTGACTGTTGAGTCTTCAGAAGCACAAACCAGGCTTGAATCAAAAGCTCGAGGCGCCAGTCACTGAACCGCCTGAGGCTCCCGACTTGACCTCCAGTCCCGACGAGGCATGCGCCGCCGGGGCCCGAGGTCAGCGCCTCCCCGGACTCCAGACAGCTTTTTCCGGAGGCGAGTGTTTACCAGCATGTTAAAGGTTACTTCAAAGGTTAATGATTGTTGACCCCAGCCACAACCAGACGTAACAGATCAAGCAGCGATCCAATGCAAACTATAGTACGGGCGCCGAGCACAAAGCCGCTGCCCGCATAATCCGCAGACAAATAGCCGGCCGACATCGTGGCCAAGGCCGCCCCAGCAAACTCCGCCCCGTGTCAGCAGACGGTGCCCCTCGCCAGAGGTGCCCGTTGACAGCTGAGTAACCGAGGGTGTCGTTACTGAGCAGTGCGCTCACCTGTTCGCGGCCGTTACAGCACTGCACAGCCCCTGCGTGCTGCCTTTTCCACATGAGATGCGTAGGCTAGAGACTTAAGATGTAAATATCCACCATGCGTAGAGGCAAATACAATAGAGCGCGCGCACTGTGTATCCGTCGCAGTTCCGGCACGAGGGGCGTGCGTGAAGCTCCGTATCTGGCGTGATCATGTGAGAGTGGCCTCACCACGACAATCACGCAAGTCTACACCTGACGAGAACCTCGCAGGCAGACTTGTGGTGACGAATGACCGGAGGGCGGGAACAACTGCTTTCCCATCGGTGTACAATAGTTAGTATTAATCCTACGCGTTACGGGAAAAACAGCGTCAAAATTGAGTTTCTCCAGCCGCTCGTTCCATCCATTCACACACATCTTTGTCATCGGAGCACCTGCCGATCACCACTCACCAGGCTGCAGTGGCGCAATGGCGATTGACGATCTAACACATAAATTCAGCCCTCTCCGATACCAGTGTCGGTCACAGCGTACGCGAGCGGGGACACTTTTTGGTATTTAACAGCAGTACACTTTACGTATGTGTAAGACCATGCCAGTGACAGTGACTCCCCGCGCAGTGAAGCTATGCAAGAGAGCATCAAGTCTAAATACCATCTATTCAAGGTCCTGAGTGCGTGGAACCGCGCGGCACAGGCGATGCTTCGCAATGACCCGTGCCTGATAACCAGATGTGAACGTTAACCATGCAGAATGTTATCCGAGATCCAGTCCAAATTGTTGTGATGCGTCAATGTTACGTCATTGGTGCAGGCACTACTGGCACCCACCGGCATCGCCTCTTCACAGCGAAGCAAGCGGAAACCGTCTGTCTGCTCCATTAATTTTCGGGCGCACACCTGTCTGTACATGTGTTTACCTGTCCGCATTCATTTAGCCAGACCCACAGCACAGACAGGGATTGCCGCGAAATGTGCACATACGATGGGATGGGATGAGATCTCGTGGGTAGAACACTGGGAAGGAGGAGGGGGCAGGTTACATTTCCCGGTCAGGGGCTGAAGGACCATTCCGTTCAAGCATGGGGCGACTGCCGACCGCTATGCTGGCGCCACTGGGGTGCAGTCCCTGGGCGGTACAGAAGCCTTCTGAGGGATAAATCATATACTGGTCACCTGCCTGACACTGGAGACCCCCCTTACCCCGGCAGTTGGCCTCGGATCAACGTAGGGGCCTTCATTGACGCAAAACACATCCCATATTGCCGTAGGTGTCAATAATTGGCACAGAGAGCCTCGGTTCGACATAACGGACACTGCCTGAAATGGGGTGAATGGCCCTCCGTTCGGCAGTGGGGCCCCTGGCTGACACAGGACCTTTCCTCCCCCCCTCCCCCCTCCCCGTACCTCTGGCTTGGTCAGCAGGGACATTATACAAGCAAACAGGGCCACTGAAGGATTGTTACGCGGTTTGCTGGTCTGTTGGGAGCAACTGTTTGCTTGGAAGGTTCTCCTGCCGGCTGATAAGACGGCCCTGGTGGGCAGAAGCACTGCATTGTACTCCACCAGCTTGAGATGGCTTCAACTTCATTGGCAAGGGGCCACTGCTCCCCGGAAACATACTACTCCTGTTGCACTAGCGACAGTCTTGCACAATCTGTCGGGAAAGAACATACTTAGCTTGCCCCGACCAATACGCACTTATCATAAGGAGGCTTAAAGGGTGCTGCCGTCGCCTGTCGGTGGCGGCTGTGGATAAAAGGGACTCTCACCGGCGCCTCTCTACTAGAGAGACGGAGAGAACGAGAGGTCCCAATAAAAACAAAGCCCACACCAGCCAGCAGGGTGCCCCCAAGCGGTCATTCCAAGGTATTGCTCGGGTCCCTCTTCCGTAGATGTGCCTCCTACGTAGAGGTGAATCCTTTGCAGGTAAGTTAAGGGTGCTTGAACAGCGAAAACTGACACAACGTACCGCACCAAAATTTATCAACAAACGGGGATCTCCCCAGATTTGGCACACTTTATTCAAGTTGGGGGCTGGATCCCTAGTTCCCCCCACCCCATTTGAAGAAGAAAACTAAGCTCTTGCTCTCATGACATATTCGAAGCGGCACTTTAGGGTACTAGGCTAGGCCTAAATGCTAGCAGATGTTTATGTTGCATTTAGTTCTACTTCAAATAGGGGTAAAGCAACATACCGGCACCTGTACTATCCAGAACAGCGGGAACTCGGCCCGTGCTTTGAAGGGACCCATAGCCCCCAGCCTCATGGGTCGGTTCGGCCGCCAGAAGGCCGAGACAGCACACCGGACCGCATCGCTCGCGCTGCGCCGGGCTGCAGCGGCCATCGGTGCGCCTGGGGAGCCGCCTAGCGGGCGCCGCACGAACCACTTACCCTCGCGCGTCGGCGCAGGCCATCCCGGGCGCCAGCTGACTGCATATCCGCTGTCCACGTCAAGGACGGAGCGTCCAAGACGGTCCTGCACGCGCGGCACGCAGACCCGCGTGCGGTGGTGTCCGGGGAGCCGCCCGCGGCACGGGTTAGGGAGGGATCGCGCTGCGCACTTGCTCCACGGCAGATGCGCGGCGCGTTGACACAGCCGGTGCCTGAGACAGCGTGGCTGGCGGCGACCGGTCGCGGCGTCGCTCGACTGCCACGTGGTGCCGGGTGGCGCGCGGAGCGGCCGACCAGGGGGAGGGGCTGCGGTGGCGGCCGGCCGGTCTGGCGCTCCACGGGGGCACCAACCGGGGCAGGTTTGGTGCTTAACAGTGGCACAAGAGCGGAATCGTGGGAATGGGCTGCGGGGCTGGCCGGTATGGTGCCGTATGGCAGCGTCTGAGTAAGCAGCGTCTGGGATCAGAGTGCGGTCCCTGTAGTCGCACCTGAACCAAGTCGGAGGAAGGCCTGTTGTGGCGGAGGCGGGTCTGCGGTTCCTGGGCAGAAGTAAGGGAGGGTTGTGATGCCGTTCGCTTTGGTGTTCTGCACTTGCACCTATGCAATCAGGGGCTGCGCTATTGTGGCGGTAGTAGGTCCGATGCTCATATATATATATATATATATATATATATATATATATATATATATATATATGCAACAGAGCACAACTCAACTTGCCTAGTACCTAGCGGCTTCAACAAGCTCCGAATGAGACCTGCAATCACGTCCTTGCATGCTGTTTTCTATACGCTTGCCAGAATTACGTCTCGTCCTTGAGCATCTGTGCATATTCGTTTGAAGCATGCACATACTCGACATGACATTGCTGGCCAATATACGCCACGAACAAATGCCACCGGTCATTCACTTGCCACATTCCTCTCGGATAATGCCCATGTGGCAGTCGATCGACGCCAAGGCCGGTCGCCGTCGGCCGCGCAGTCCCAGTCACCAACTGGTGATTTGCTCCCTTCTGCACTAGGAAAATCAGCTACGTCAGGTGGTAAAGTATTGTCCATATGGTTTACCCAGCACACTACAACGCAACCGGCGGATTTCGATTTACGATGGGTGATGAGCTGGCGCGACGCGGAGGCTTTTCACAAAGGCAACATAGTCTGCTCGTTGGTGTTTCAATGAGATGTGCAGCTCACATCAGCGCCTCGCATGAGAGCAGGCTAGCTCGAGTGCGTCTCACTGTGGTCTTTGCAAATGGAAAGTCGGTATACTTTGTTCACTACTGAACTGAAGTTTACTCCTGAGGCCTAGAGAGCAAGAGAGCAAGGCACGATGCCAGAGAGCGGAGGACAGAGAGTAGAGAGCGAGATTGAGATTAGGAGCGAGAGAGACAGAGACAGAGACAGAGACAGAGACAGAGACAGAGACAGAGACAGAGCGAGACAGACAGAGACAGAGACCGAGACGAGACAGAGACAGAGACAGAGACGAGACAGAGACAGAGACAGAGACAGAGACACAGACACAGACACAGACACAGACCAGACACACGACACAGACCACAGACCAGACACAGACACAGACACAGACACAGACACAGACACAGACACAGACACAGACACAGACACAGACACAGACACAGACCAGACACAGACACCAGACACATACCATACAACCGACACAGACACAGACACAGACACAGACACAGACACAGACATACAGAGACAGAGACAGAGACAGAGACAGAGACAGAGACAGAGACAGAGACAGAGACAATAGACAGAGACAGAGGACAGAGACAGAGAGAAGAGAGAGAGAGAGAGAGAGAGAGAGAGAGAGAGATAGAGAGAGAGAGAGAGAGAGAGAGAGAGAGAGAGAGAGAGAGAGAGAGAGAGAGAGAGAGAGAGAGAGAGAGAGAGAGAGAGAGAGAGAGAGAGAGAGAGAGAGAGAGAGAGAGAGAGAGAGAGAGAGAGAGAGAGAGAGAGAGAGAGAGAGAGAGAGAGAGAGAGAGAGAGAGAGAGAGAGAGAGAGAGAGAGAGAGAGAGAGAGAGAGAGAGAGAGAGAGAGAGAGAGAGAGAGAGAGAGAGAGAGAGAGAGAGAGAGAGAGAGAGAGAGAGAGAGAGAGATAGAGAGAGAGAGAGAGAGAGATAGAGAGAGAGAGAGAGAGAGAGAGAGAGAGAGAGAGAAGAGAGAGAGAGAGAGAGAGAGAGAGAGAGAGAGAGAGAGAGGAGAGAGAGAGAGAGAGAGAGAGAGAGAAGAGAGAGAGAGAGAGAGAGAGAAGAAGAGAGAGAGAGAGAGAGAGAGAGAGAGAGAGAGAGAGAGAGAGAGGAGAGAGAGAGAGAGAGAGAGAGAGAGAGAGAGAGAGAGAGAGAGAGAGAGGGCAAGGAGGAGATTGAGGAAGAGACAAAGCATGACCCATGCGTATGCCGCGGAATTTTCAGACAACTTTTTGCACTGAAGGCCCATGACCGCAACACGGCAGATGCTCATGACATGCAAACACGGCGGAGCGGCACTGCTCAGGTCTCCGAAACGTTGTGTTTAAACTAGGATGCCTCAACTGGTTTAATAAACTGTGCTTCGCCGTTGTGAATATATCTTCGTGCTGATTGTGAGAAAATTTTAAATGAGTATAAGCTAGCACGCTCCCGGTCAGGGTGTGCAGAGAACTACCACTGGACAGGAAACCCTATACAAATCCTAGTTGCGCGCCTACCACCATGCGGAGCGCAACTAGGATCGGTATAGGGTCTCAACCAACACAACCATCCCATCAGCCGTGACAGGAAGCAGGCTCTCCGATGGCGTTCAGACCCGGGAAAATGTAAAAGCCCGAGACGACCAACGACACAAGGGCGCCGAGTCCACAGAGCTATCCACAGAACACAGAACTGGGGAACAAAACTGGTCAAAAATTGGGGTCCGCAGAACTGGGGCACTCAGGTATGTATGGACATTGAGTCTCCACCGAGCTACAGGACTGGGGCACCCAGGCATGTATGGACATGGCGTGTCTGACTGAGTTATAGAAGTGGGACACCCAGACATGTATGGACATTGCGTGTCCACCGACCTACAGGGCTGGGGCACCCAGACATATGTCTGAATGTTGCGTGACGTCAGAAATATCCGGAGCACCTACACGACCGCCATTGAGGTATTCGTGCAAGCACACTGCGGCGGTCTCCAAGATATTCCACGCGTGTTACAATCTCCCATGCTGTCGTCCACCGGACGTTCAACTCGCGTGTAAACATAACAACCGTCACAAAGATAAGACAGTAGTGTTAGCCTTATTCCTTGGGAGAAAAAAAAAACAGGTGAAAATTCACCTTTGCTCTTGTTTCGAGAAAGGCATGTTGCCGAAATATCGACCTAACTTTATCTCTACTCTCCTGGTTTTTCCGAGGAATAAGGCTACTTCTAATGTCTTATCTATGCGACTAATTTTTCTCGCTAATGCACTGAACAACTTACAGAACAGCCGTCAACTGTATTCGCCACATCGGATGATCACTAGTGCACATTAAACGTGCACCAAATATGCAAGCGTCTTCCAAAGAAATATCAGTGGTGAGAAACCATTGCAGCGTTCATTATGCGACAGCGCCGCTGATTTCACGATTATCCACCCTTCCAGCCTGTAACCATCATTCACTATTGATGCACCCATCTACCAGTCCACCCGATTGCGTCCTACCCTCGACCGGTGGTGATGCACCCATCTACCAGTCCACCCCGATTGTGTCCTACCCCTCGACCGGTGGTGATGCACCCATCTACCAGTCCACCCGATTGCGTCCTACCCTCGACCTGGTGGCGATGCACCCATCTACCGGTCCACCCGATTGCGTCTTACCCTCGACCGGTGGTGATGCACCCGTCTACCAGTCCACCCGATTGCGTCCTACCCCTCGACCGGTGGTGATGCACCCATCTACCAGTCCACCCGATTGCGTCCTACCCCTCGACCGGTGGTGATGCACCCATCTACCAGTCCACCCGATTGCGTCCCTACCCCTCGACCGGTGGTATGGGTACATCAGAACGTGTACAGGTACATCAGTGGGCATTCATCAGAACGTGTCTCGTTATATTTTTAGCCGGCTTAATGGACTCTCACGCATCGATAGGGATTAGACATGGACGTCAGATATTGTTCTTGAGCCGGGGGCGTGCCACGGAATCGGCCAAGTAGCCAACCTCACGGCGCTATCCTGCTACCGGCGATGTCGTAAAACATGTGCTGAGGTGGCACATGGGCCTTCTAGATGTATTTTGTTCTTGCACCTCACAAGTGATGGCTACACTTAAAGTGAGGTTGCCGACTGTTTTGCACTTTACTTTTAGATGGACTGTATTAAGATCCTCCACAGTATGGCTTTACCGGCACCCACGTCACATACATGGGACACGGAAGTAAAAACACGTGGACATTATATTTAATGACAAAAACGGCGCAATAGATCCACCTCGGTCGCAGGTAAGCGACTAGACTGTTCTTAAACGCCAGGGCGCTAACAGTGGCCGGCAGGCGAACACCTGATGGCAGCGAATTCCACATGCGAGGGAGGCTCTCGTGGAAAAATAAGCGGCTCGCTACCTCGGTGCGCACTCGCGGGAGCTGCGGAGCTGCAACATACCTCCAGCTGTGGCCCGAGTGACACGCGAGGGCCCCAAGGCACAACCGACCACCCGTTTGTGCGACGCCTCGGGTGTACGGGTGTCTGACAGAATGCTCCGCATCGTCATTATGTCCCGTTCGGTGATCATATCAGGTTCTTTAGGCCAGCCCGACACAAGCAGTGTGGGGACACGCACGATCGTGCTTATTCCGGTTGAGGATGGTGCGGGCGCCGAAGTTCAGTGCGTTTTGGGCGCCATTTTCCGCGCAGCTGAACAGCTACGCCAAAGAGTCGAGTAGTATCGAATGTGGAGAAACATCATCGCCCCTACCATCACCCTCTTAGTCTCTGTGGAGACACGGTGTCTGATCCAGGGCAGGTGCAGTCAGAGTGACGAAGCAACAACACTTGGTAACTAAGAGATGATTCCCCGGGGTGAGGAAGTCGTCATTCAACAGCATTCAAATAAGAACGTCATTCAAATCAGGCCATTTCATTAGTCATGCGGCGATCAAGGCCAAGACAAATCTAAGTGTAGAGTCATTCATATCTGACGTTCGTGATCACACTTTCCAAATATAACGGCCG